AAGACAATTTGAAATCTCAGCTTCTAATATAAATAGATCATCTTAATTCTGTCATCATACTCTATTGCCAAATTCCTAAATGCAATTTTTCTCACCCTGGCCGAGTTGAGAATACGTTGCAAAATGGATTACATCAGGGCTTGTGGAAGCGGGCCTCCAAGGCCTTCTTCACAAGCGGGCGGCGACCAGCCAACGACACAGAGATTTGGTTGCTTTTGTTTTAATGCTAAAGAATATGCACTTACGGGGAAGAAAAATAAATGTACCTTGAATGTTACACAGAGCAGGGACCATGTATGTTTGCGCCCCTCACTTTTCCTCTCCAGCCCACACAAATACCTTGCCACCCAACCATCAGTTGTTACGTACCATGTCACACAAAGAAGTTCCAAAAGCCGTGGGAATTCAAACTGTGAGCAAGTTCAATCTAGGTAATACCATACACCATCTACACCCGCAGACATTGTGCACTATTCAAAATAACCCTTCTGAGCCCCTAGTGCTATATAATGGTAATTTTCCATGTATCTAGAAAGCCATATGTTATGTAACATCTACATATTCCTTCTATGTATTTATTGAGTGGTTGGCGAAGAACATTTTCGGCGTAAAAATACATTTCTACGTTTACTTCCTTTACGAAACTTTCATTATATTCTTCTATTATCGCATACTCATTCTGATACTTTTTATTGTCTTTATCTTCTAATAATAAAGAGCTTATTTCCTGATCTATTTCAGTTAGCTGAGAATAAATTCTACGTAAATTAGCAAAGTTAGATCTAATGCTCTCTTCTTTAACATTATCAGCCTTTAAAAAGTCATTCAAACCATTAAAACTTTGTGAAGAGCTCTTATAGGAGAGCATTTTTTAACAAGTAATTCCATTTTCAGAATAATAGGTAATTAAAAATAACGTACTTTTAATATCACGTCATACGGTACCATGTTATGAGACTCTACCTGAATTTTGTTCATTCAGTCGGTACTCCATTAAAAGAAATGCAAAGAGAGATTTATAATTGAATAATACGGTCAATCCACCCAATTAATTCATTATAAAACAGGCAATCCACCTTAATGCAAATTCATGGTGCATTTTTTTTTATTCTAAACATAAAAACGATACAATGTTGCCAAACTGTAAAATTTAACCTTTAAAGAAATTACATTTATACAATCGTCGAGTTGCTCGCGACAAAGACTACTTCGGATGTAAATAAGGTTCACATTGAATCAGCATCAAAATCAATTACAAAAGAACAGCCATCATCCAGCCAAAGAAGATCAGCTACATTGGATGAAGTTATTGAAAGGACTGATGAAACTCCAAAGGGAGGGAATGATGATCGAAGCATGGAATTAAACTAATCGGAAGTTTTAAAGATTACCCAGATAATTTGATAGAAGAGACTGGCTGGCATAAATGAAAACTCCTTCCCTCATATTGATTTTTATGATCCTGCAAAGTGGACAACTCTTAGCAACAAAGTGAGAATGACTTTGTCTGAAATAGGGGCCTATTAAAAAAAAAAAAAAAAAAAAAAAAAGGTAATGTATCCAAAAAGTAATAATGGACTTCAATTCAGTGATACATATTACAATATAAAAATGGAAAATGGGGAATTAGTTCCCCGACATGGTTATTATACTTGTATTCCATAAGTAACAATCCTGTTGTTTTTGCTTCTGTTGCAAGATATTTTCACTGATTGACAGTAGTAGCCTCGTAAAAAGCTATAATGATTGGATAAATGTATCTAAAACCTTGTATAGGCATCAGACTAGTAGACATATATGAAATATTTCTTAAAATGGAAAGAGCTTGAGAAAAATTTGAAAAATAAAACATTTGATTCCCAAACACAAGAGATGTATAAAAATGTTTGGTGTATTTAATTATGGCAAAGCACACTAGGGCTATCTGCCTAAAAGGAGGGATGCCTTCGTGGAGGACTTTCTAAGGGAAACTGGCTCGTATACACATTACACGTGGGGAAAACCACGAACACGCCCATGCAGCCAGCCCGTTCGCGGGATTCGAACCTCGGACCGAACTACCAGTATTCAGCGACTTTTACCGCTCGGCCGCTGGTGGGCGATGTATAAAAATGAAACAAAAACATTGGTCAAGTGTATTTAGGAAGACTGATTGAGATCACAAAATTTCTTGGCAGCCAGAATTTAGCCTTTCAAGGTTCATCAGCTGTACCACAAATAAAACAGAAACGTCTTAAAATAATGGAATTGTTTGCAAAGTTCGACACTGTTATGGAATTTCACATAGAAAGAGTATTACGATCTAAAGGTAGCAGCAGGAAAGTCATTATCTAAACAAAGAGAGTCAAAATGAAATGCTGCAAATTACTGGCAGTAGTATAAGAGAGAAAATCTTACTATCTCATCGAAAAGCCAAGTATTGTTATATAATTTTAGATTGTACTCCTGATATTAGCAAAACTAAACATGAATGTCGTCATACGTTTTGTCCTCTGCAATGATGGAGTATCAGAAATCAAGGAGCATTTTTTATTGTTGATGATTCTACAGGTAAGGGCCTAACCAGTAATAGTAATGGGAGACAGAAACCGAAATGTTGAACATTCCCCTTGATGATATGAGAGGCCAGGGATATGACAACTGCGCAAATATGAAAGGAAAGAAAAATTATCTTCAACATAACATCTTAAAAATAAATCCTCGCACATTTCATGTACCTTGTCGTGCTCATAGTTTAAATATAATGAATAATGATGCAGCAAAGGCGAATGCAGATACAGTTAGTTTTTTTTTTTTTTTTTTTTTTTTTTTTTTTATTGAATTCAAGAATTATACAATGTATTTTCTTCTCCTGAGCGATGGTCAGTTCTTTTGAAAAGCATTTCCTGTTTAACCTTAAATCCCCTCTCAGAAACTCAATAGGTAAGCATTTTTTTTTTTATTGAATTCAAGAATTATACAATGTATTTTCTTCTCCTGAGCGATGGTCAGTTCTTTTGAAAAGCATTTCCTGTTTAACCTTAAATCCCCTCTCAAAAACTCAATGGGTAAGCAAAATTGAAGCCATTCGACTTTTAAGATATCAACTAGGAGTAATCTATGATGCTCTTTTTGAAATATCCGAAGGGAAATGCTTTTCAGAAGAAGTGCAACATGAAACACAAAGTCTGTGTGCTAAAATCAAAGATTATAAATTTATTTGTTCCTTGATACTTTGGCATTATTTGCTTAACAGAATTAATCCCTCAGCAAAGGACTGCAAGAAAAGGGTTTGCGTTTTATACTAGCCTTAAAGGCAATAAGTAACTTAAAAATATTTATTGAAGAATATAGAACTGACATCAATTTCAAAAGTATTCTTGAGAAAGCCAAAGAACTTAGTGAAGAAGTGGATGGAGAGACGCAGTTTAAAACTGTTGAAGAAGTCCGACGAAGGAAAAAGAAATGTGATTTTGATTACGAACATGCTGATAAATTCCCTCAATCTCCAGAAGAGAAGTTTACAGAAAATTTCTTTTTTGGAATTTCGGATATTCTTGGACATCATTAAATGAAAGATTTGATGCAATGAAAAATCACTGTGATAGTTTTAGTTTTCTGGGTAATTTATCAGAAATCAATAATGCAAATTTGAAAATAAAATACAGTAAATTAGAAAAATTGTTACAGTGGGATGACAATAAAGATATTAACGCAGAACGCCTGTATGACAAAGCAGTAGCTTCGAAAGACATTTTTACAGCAAGTATGAATGACCCATTTGAAACTCGGAACTTAATTGCATCAAACAATTTATACTTCCTAAACTTGAAGATCATATTGAGAATACTACTTAGCATTTCTGTTAGTGTTGCTAGTAACAAAACATCATTCTCCAAATTAAAATTGATCAAGACATAATTAGGGTCAAATATATCACAGGAAAGACTCATAAATCTAAGCATTGATTGCCATCGAAAATGAAATCTGTCAAGAGATAGATGTAAAAGAAATTTAAAAAAATTTGTAAACATGAAATGCAGAAAAATAAATTATTCTTGATAAACTATTAAAAAAACCAACAAATGCTTTCTTCAAAACTTAATTTTCCTATAAAAAAATTTTAAAAGAGGGGGGGGGGAAGCATGACTTCAACTATTTTGCAGGCGAGCAGTGGATAACCTTACACCAGGTGCTGGATTACATATAAAATTTTCAGCAAAGTAACATGATGTATTTCATGATTGAAATTGCATATGCTGTTGTAGAATGACTAAAGCTGATGCAGAACATGTTGTCACTTGTTCCTGTCTGGAAAATAACTGGTTAATTTATTACCTGAACTTAGAAGAACAAAGATCTTAAAATATTACTTTCTAATGACTAAATCAGAAGAGAACTTATCAAAATTATAAAAAGTATAACAGCAAATGACAACAAATATTATGTATCTTGATGTTAATATCCCGCATGTGGACCTTGACTCAACATCATTTAAATTATCTAATATTATAAATCGTAAATTTTTGCTTAAATTATCTTGCATACATGTGTAAATGCCTTGATTATTTAAAGTTTATTTCTGTAGGGTTCAGAATTATTTATTTAATGTTATTTTTTTCCAAGTAGCTATCTGAATGCTGAATATGTAGTTCACTTAGCTTAATTTCATTGTATATGTATGCTCTGTAAAGTTTAGTTATTTTATCTTAGCGTTGCTAAGCAGCAAATTATATTTTAAGTTTTTCATACCAAGTTACATATTCCTAATACATCCTGTTAATTTATTAATGCAGATATTAGCTAACGATGCCAGTTGGGTTTTATAGTCAAGAACTAATGATTAGGGAAGACTACAGGTTGCTGTTTATTAGCATCAAATTATTCCATTAATTCCCGTGTATGTGTTTTAGCAAGGTAGATTAATAAAAATATAACAACATAATATAATAATTTCACATTTATAGTACAGAGTAAATACTGATGCTGATGCAATTTAGTAATAATATCTAAATATTTACCGATCCCATGGTACCGATGTCTCAAAGGATTCTGATACTACACCATACTCCAAACCAAGATCCTGTAAGTAAAATTCATTTCTGAAATTACTTTGAAATTACAACTAAGTCAAATCTGACAACTTAAATCAGTAGATTTAATAAAGTATAATAATGAAAAGGCAAGTTTAAGTGTTAACAAAATATAATACAAAATTTATGAAAAGTATATTTTTATGAAAAGAACATTTAGAATTCAGTATTAATATTATAAAATCTAAAGTATTGAGTAGATATTCTAAATTCAGTTTAAAATGAGACTTCCAAGGATTGGGGCAAACACACAATTATATCATGTCAATTTACTTAAATATGTTGTTATAAGTACCACTCTACAAATTAATGCCAAGGTTTTAATAATTAGTTATCACTTCGAAATCAATTCAATATACTAACATCATATGGAATTCTACACAGTTAGATGGTCAAACAGTCTAAGAGACGAAAGTTTCATAAACTATAGATAAAAATAATTATGATAGCTAATTTAAAACTTAAAGGTCAAAAGAAAAGAAGTACCCACAAATAATTTTGAACAAGAGACAGCAAAATATGTAAAATCTGATGTTAATTATATGTTTGCATACAAAAATAAAATTAAAACAGTAATAAACAATAAGTTATAATAAATTAACAGCTAAATAATGCACTGAAAGTTGTTGAAATTTAGCAGTATAATTCAAAATAAAAATAAATGTTTCTGTACAAGTCACAGTTTCTGAATATGATTTTTGAATCATATTCAGATACAGTGAAGAACAAAAATGAAAATACAAAACTGTGTAAAAAATCACTGTATGAAATTAATGAAAAAAATTTAAAAATTAAGTAATTTTGCAGTAAAATTGAAATTAAAACTGAGAGCAATTTCAATACACATAATCAGATACAGTAAAGCAGAACAAAAACAAAACTTGATCAAAACAGTGCAGACAGCTCTTGATAAACTGCTCTCGGTTTGAATTTTACTGCAAAATTATTTAATTCAAAAAAATGTTTTCATTTATATCAATTTTACACCGTCATTTTTTACAGCATTTTGAAAGAGTTTTTGTTTCCTTCTGCTGTATCTGATATGTTTTTTGAACTCACTTTTAATTTTTATTTTAATTTAAAATTATATATATAAATTAGCTGTGGAAGAGTAATCTACTACTATTTTTACATATGTGTAAATCCTGGAAATAAACATTAATCATACAAACGAAGTCACTGACATTAATGATTAGACAGTTATTAAATCAGTGCTATCATCACAGATGGGAAGATTCTGTGAAGATTAATATCATACTTAAAAAAAAAAATAAAAATAACCACATTATTTATCATTATCATTATTAAGTATTTGATAATGATAATGATAATGATCTTGATTTATCATTATCATTATTAAGTATCAAACTTTAGATGAAACTAGTTGTCTCCTGGTGGATTTCTGACAAAAGATTTTATGTAGAGTATTTAAAAAAAAAAAAAAAAAAAAAAAAAAAAAAAGAAATAAAAAGAGTATTAAATCCCATTGGAATTTTTTTTCATGATGCAATGTGCAATCAAAACTAAATACACAAATAACATAGATGTTAGAAGTTTTAATATTTAAAAGAGTATCCTCAAATCTAAAGGTAGTTAACCTTTTATAACTCACATATCATTTTTCTAAAAATTAAGATACATTATAGAAACTTATACCCTATCTCAGCTCTTTTATAATATGGTATTATGCATAAAATGGTCTATGATATATGACACTACATACATATTTAAGCTATTTTTAAATAATAGGGTTTCATATAAAGACCAGATAAATATTAATTATGTTATAACAAGACCTTTTGAAATTTCTTTGCTTTTAATGTGCAAGTTAAACCAATTACAGAAAGAATCAAACAGTTTTCAGATTTGAACCAGTCAGTCACAATCACCTTTTGTTCTTAATTATTTTCATGAACGAAAATGCTAGTTTGTATCTGCTCATTATTTCAGAATGGCACATAGAAAATTTTCTACCCTGAAAAAATGTTCACAGGATCAATGGTGACCAGACATTAATCATACAGAAGCATCTTGGAATCACGGAAATTCAACAAATCTCATTTTCAATAAAGAATTTTGAGATCACTAGGTTCACTTTTATATTTAACAGGGTAGCACCAAGATGGGCTCAATAAGTGAAAAAAAATACTTTTAAATATATATATATATATATATATATATATACACAAATACAAGTATGCAGCCTTATTTCTTGGCAAAATTACAAAAATGACTGCTAATAGACTCTTATAAATAATTTGAGTTTGTACCATATATTCTGTTACATTGCCATTACTTTCAATAGATTTACTACAGTCTTAAATCTGACAATTGACCTAAATCCTTATTTTCTAACTGAGAGATGAAAAGTTTCAATTTAACATTGGATGAACTGATTGCATTTACTAAATTTGCTCTAGCCCTGCTGTATAAAATTAAGATAACTGAGGTGGCTGATAATGTAAATTAAAAAGACATTTCTTATTATATAAGAGGGCTTTTCTTTAGGAAGTGTATCTTTCTCTTCCAGAAAGTTACGAAGATTGTCTATCTTTTTCAAAATCTACTCTGAAACTGTCCTCTAGAAAGCCCATGTACCTCACAATGAAGGATAAGATCACCATATTCTATATTTAGGAGCATGTGTATTTTTTCTGCTGGCTTTCTGGCTAGATTCTAAAAATTTTAAAAATATTCATGTGACTTTTTCCTTCATTACATTCAGAGAAGAAGCTCACCTAATTTTTAAAATGGATTTGTCCATATAGTGATTGTTTTTGTCTTATTAACAAAGACAAACAATTGCAAACTACTTGTGAAGAGCACGGCAAACTTTTCCCTTTTAACTGTTCCAATTTATGACAGTATAATAAAAGAACCAACCCATTATGCCAAAGCAGAAACAAACTGATATTCAATCTACTATTCAGCTGTCGACTCAGCTGTACATTTGCATTCTCTAATTATTTATGCATGATTTCAGGCCTAAGGAGAGGCACAGAAAACATTAAGAACGGTCGAAATTCAAGTTAGATGGAAGTAGATGTGAGGGTAATTTATTATGTAAAATAATGTTAATATTATTATGTATTATAAATGGAATGTGGGTTTCTTCTAATGAAATAATATTTTGATATTTACCAATAGTTTATCCATGACTACCTTTCATTTGTTATGTTCTTACCATAACCACATCTGTCAGAAATAAAATTATTAGCATAATTTTCCCTTCTTGATTTTCAAACAATAAAATCATTTAAAAAAGGATTAAAATATGCAAGGAGGTATGTTAATTATCTTCTGGCTCTGAATGTATTCATGTACTTTGCAAATGGTATCATAACACACTCAAAATTAACAGTTTTCTATACGGAATGCTTCCACATACTTCAATAGATACAGTATTTTAGGAGAGAATAACCCCCAAACCTTTCAGGTAAAGTTCCAACTCCAGTTTCTGAATCTGGAGACATGCTCCAGAACTGAAAACACTGATGAGCTATTATAATCTAAATCTTCATTTTCTGGATATGACTTTACTTTGTGTCAAATATGTCTCCAGCAGTGCAAATGCCACATGACATGCTCCAGCGATGAAAAAATGTTCCAGCAGTGCACACACTAATAAACTATTACAATCCAATCTTCATTTTCTGGATGACTTTAATTTGTCAAATATGTCTGACTTCTGGTTTTTCCTTGAAATGATTCAAGGCTGGGAGGTTCTTCAAAGTATTAATATTACCATCTATTCCTATTATAAAAAATGCTTAATTAAATGCTTAATTGATTATGGCAAAGTATACAAAAAACTCTTTGCTTAAGGTAAAGGATGCCTTCTTGGAGGACTTCCTAAAGGAAAAGAGCATGGACTTGGTGTGATTACTAGCATATATTATGCTGGCTGAATGATAAAGAATATCTGCTTCGTAAAAAATATTTTCGCCAGCAGTTCATAAAAATGAAATTTGTTAAGAAAAGAATGGATACTGATACATACTCGAATATAAGCTATAACAAATGTAAGCATATAGCCTCTTTTTCCATTGTCTTCTCCAGCAGCAAGACCACTGAAAAAAAAATATATATGTACACATAAATATTTTCTCTCCTCTTTAATGCATTCTTACAGATAGAGAAAAAGAAGTTTCATCCTTGACTGCTGTATGGCAGAGGCATAGACACCAACAAAAAGCAAAACTTATCAACGGTCAACATGCAAATGACATTTTTACAACTTTGAAAATGTGCATGTAAGACATGTTTTCTCAATTAAACATTAAATGTAACTAATTTAATTACATTTAAATTAAAATGTTGCAACCTAAAAAAAATTTACAATGCAACAAAGTGAGCAATTCAAAAAATTTCCTGTAAATTATATGCATATTTAATTAGAAATTTTCATTTTATTACTCAAGCAGAAAAATCACTAATATATTATTGAAGAAAATATTTTAAATTGCATAATAACAGAGGGTATTAGAATTCCTAAATCATATATCTTTGAAGTTCTGTCTTCAATATGAAAATAACATAAAGTTCTGGATAGAGACAAGATATATACATATAACCATCAACAAAACTGCTTATAATTCACTTATGAATTATGAATGTAAAGATTTATAAGTAGCTGCTTCACAAATTCAAAATTAGATAATCTTTTTCTATAACACAGTTCATCATCTGTCTACAAGTTTACTTTTTACAATGAGAATGACTTCAAAAACTGTTGTACCCAGACTTAGTTGAAATAATTTTTATTTCTTTAGGGATGCCAGAATCTAGAAATACTGCATTTTAAAGTGGCTTCGAATGGTCCAAAACTAAAATTGGAAGGCTGTATTAATCAAAAATCAAATTAAATAGAATCCAGCTTTTATAACATGCACTTTATTCTCTTTTATGAAAAAATGTTTATATTCCTTCAGATTTTATAGCACTAATTTTTTTATGCCTTTGAGAAAATACATGTCATTTACAGAGTCACCTTTTACGTTATGCATGACTGAAAAAGCAACTTTGTTGCTAGTGAAAAACTTTAGATGTTTTAATGCAGAGAAATTCTGTAAAATATGAGTCTTTAAATTTCTGACTTGATAATTAGAAATCTCTTATTCTGAGACAGCATAATTCATGAAATTAAATTTCCAGTTTAATCACAACTCACAAAAAACATGTGCTTTGTTTCTAATAATAATATACCAAACAACACCTGCAGAGTGCTCGATTGGAAAGATAAAGGTCGGAATTTGCTGAACTATGATTGGTTACTCTTCAAAATCAACAAGACCATCAACTTAATATGTCCCATAACATGCATAGAAGAATACGTAGGTTTTATTTTGTATACCATCTCCCTTGGCCCTCTTTCAATAAAATCCAGTTTTTCTTTCCCCTAATAAATTTTCTGCAGCTTGCAATTTTTAAGGAATTTCCATAGAAACTACATAGAATCTATAGTAGTTGGAGTTATCCAGAGGTTGCAAACCCAGCTTGCAAGCCAAAATGACTTGTCATTAGTTTCATTTTTGAACTACTACACTCCTCAAAAGGGAAATTGCGACACCAAGAAAGAATGCTCGTAGCATCATGCAAATTGCAGGATCAAGAGTTGCGAGATGGATATGCAAATGATTAAAAAAAAAAAACAGAAAATTATTATAAACCAATTTATTCAGTATCTAATGTGCTCACCTTGGAAGCGATACAGGTCGTAACTTGGCGAGGCATGCCATCAATGAGTTCATTGATGGTTGCCTGAGGCAGCATTGCATCCACTGATGCACGCAGATCATCCATGACTCGCGGCCGTGCTCCTCGGTTAATGTCATGTCCAATGACATCCCACAGTTTTTGATGGAATTCAGATCTGAAGAAGCTGCTGGTCGATATCAAATCCGATAAGGCAGTTAAGAGTATGCCGAGTGGCATCGTCTTCCTGGAATACCATAGTGGGTGCCGATAATGTGTACCAGGGGCATTTTGTAATCAAATATTATGCCACCCCAAACCATAATGCCTGGTGCAGGACTGGTGTGATGCTTGGCGAAATGGGCTGTTTCGTAATGTTCTCCAGGTTGCCACCATATCCGTCGACGGCTGTCATTCCTCCACAGAGTGAAACGAGATTCATCCTTGAACAAAACATGCCGCCATTCGATGATCCACTCACTATGACGCTGACACCACACCAGGCGTCTATCTTTTGTTTAGCACTCAATGGCACACCTGTGGCTGATACCAGCAAATGTAAATGCACCATATGCAATTTACTGTGTATAATTTGGGTGAACACAGATCCACCTGCTTCTGAAGGCAACTGGTTTTGGATGTCACGTGACGTGGAGAAAGGGTCTCCAATAGATGACCGCTGAATACGCCGGTCTGTGCCACTTCCCCTTCGACGAGCATGTACACCTTCCTGGAATCCATTGTGTGACACAACGTTGGATGGTATTCCTGTTGTGCCCAACACAAATGCTATTGTGCTCAGTGACAAACCAAGTTCATAGAGTTCGATAATACAGTCACGTTCCCCGGTCGTTAACTGATGGTACTGAGCCGATTGAGCTCGTCGACACCTCAGAGGCATTTTTTATGCTTCTTCTAAAGTCTCCAATGCTTCGTAAACCCTCAGATGCTGTTTATGAGAAGAGAAAGAGGCGGAACTTTTTAGCCTGCATATGCATACCCCGTGATCCAAAAAAATATTTTGCACATGTACTGGGATCCAGATCAGATTCATTATCTGAAGGCAATTCATTTAGCACTTTTAGAAATGGTCAGCCCTCTCCGATCAATTTGCAAAATAATTGAAAATCAGAAAAAAATAAACTAACATTATATCTACAATTAAGAAAATATAAACTAAAAAATGAAATTAAATAAACATCTATAGCTAAAAACTATCGAAATGTAGAGCTAACAAAACTTCTTTCAAAGAAAGTGGGGGGGGAGAAAGAAAGAGAGAGAGAAAGAGAACTGCTCTAGAGAAAAATCAAAGTGCTAACTGATAAAATTACCCCTGACCTTGAGAAAAAGACTCCAACAATTTCATAGTTTCTAACCGAATCTCCCCCCCCCCCCCCCCCCCCGGAAAAAAAAAACTGAGATGTGAACACATTTTTCTATTGTGAATAAGCTCACCACCGATGGGATGGCAACACTTTTTTATTTAGAAATATAGCACATAGGATGGCAACAACTGTATTAAATCTAATAATAGATATGACACGTTATTTGGCTGTACTTCCTATTTGACAAGGAAATTTTTGCAGTTCTCTGTGGGATGGAAACAATAACAAATGCTTCTAAGTATTAAAAATCTGTATTCTAATTTTAATACTAGATTTGAGTCAGATTAAATGAATTAGCACACATTAATGGAAATACGAGAAAAAGGAAAGACAAAGGAAACCTGACATTAAAAAAAATAAGAAATAGTCCTATATTTAAAAGAGGCCATAAAAGAATTTTATATTAGAAAAAGTGAACAGGAAAAAGTATGTGTACCATGGATGCAGTCAACTGATCAATGCTCATGTTCAGAGTATTAAGTGCTGCCATACTTCTTTTTATACAATCAAAAGTCATTAATTCGGACACCCATAATCCGGACCTCAAAGCTAACATCTCTCTGCGCATGCGCCGTGTTGACGCATGCTCATAGGCGTTTTACGCGTGCACGCAAGACAATTACGACTGCGCATATGCGTCTGCACAAGCGCAGAATACGTTTTCGCGTGCACGTTTAATATATAACGGACGGTATAAGCTAAAATTATCTAATTATCTATTTCAGTTAATGTTGATGATTGCGTTGTTCCTTAATCTTCGAATTGGATCCAGCTTATTATTTTTTGCAGACTGTAAGAGCAATTTTATAAAAGTAAGCTTGAACTTTCGATTATGTCAAATAGAATTTCCGATGCTGGAGCTCCCAAAGGATCTAGAAAACGAAAGTATGTTTCGATGTCCATCAAACAAAAAATGAATAAAGGTATATCCTTTGTTTATCTAACCGTTCCGAAATCTGTTTATCAATTTCACGCTGCTCTGCGCGCGGATGGGGGGGGCATCGCGGCACGCAACGAACTGGAAATTGATCTGTCATCACTATCGTTATCTTCAGGGCAGATGTTTTTATTTTATTCGGCTTATGATTCCTTACTAAATGTAGTATTTAATCTCGATGTACTTCGTCTTTGATATGATTTAAATCAAATTCCTCGTCATTATAAATATCATGAATACAAATCAAATAGTTTTCTGGTTGCAATTTTCTAATTTCGGCTATGCGTAAAGTACGCATGCGCGCGTTGAAAGAAATGTTTAATAAAGTAAACAAATAAATATTAAGCTTCTTTTTTTTGTAAATTTTGATACCCTTTAGATCATAATTGCTCATTATTTTATAAATTAGGGTTTCATATTTTTAATTTTATAATTTCTGCATGCCATCTTACCAGATTTAAACTGATGATCTATAAATCCGGAAAAATCGATAATCCGGAATAAAGACTTTTGACTGTATTTGCTATGCTATTTATTTTTGAGATGCAAATTGATGAAAAGCATCTGAATGATGAAAACATCTGAATTTCCTCAGGATATCAACTGTAAAAATTGTTACTGGTCATGGCTGTAAAAAAGGTTCTAAATATTTGGTCCATGTTTTTCCCCTTCTGGCATGTTTATTAACAAAGTTTATAGTAACAGTTGATGCAAAAAATACTAACACAATATTTAAAAACACTGGAATATATCAAAATGTTTAATTATTCTTTGTTTTAAAGCTGCAAATAGCAACAATTTATCAAGTAATTTAAAAAGAAATTCTAATTTTTAAAGCATATTTTGGAAAGAAAGTAAGTTGCTATTTTTATATATTTAATACTGTTAATTTATAAGTGTTATTATCAAAGATCTAATTTTATGTTTTGCATTCTGCAAAGTGTTTTGATGTTAGTTTTAAGATATTATGAGATGCACGAGATGCCTACTTTAGTTATTATTTCCAGCATCAGCAATAATATCAGTATTTCAGTTAATGTGATTCAGAAAGGTG